TATCTGGACCCTTAGTCCATTTGTAACTTTCTAAAATCAAAGTTTTAATCACCCTTTTGCTGTTTATTCCAAAATTCTTTTTAAGTTCTTAAAAGAGTGATTACAAAAGGAAGTATGCAAACTTAATGTTGTTTCAAAGGTGCCGACCACGTTTGAGCAAGATGGCTATTCCTTCACCTCCCAGAGCTCTAAACCCACAGGAGACTGCTGTCTTGTGGTTTCCGTGTGAGGAACAGCTGTCTGGAGCACTTGTGGGTGATCTCAAGTCCTCCCCTTGTCCAGAGAGATTTCAAAGAGTCAGTCTACTCACTGGCTCTTCATTTCGCTGCAGTCATCGGCTCCACTTTTTTGCAGAGCCATCTTCAGTCCACTATTTTGTCCTTTGGAAGTCCCACCTACTTTAATAGATTCCCATAACATATCCTATCAGATCTGAGGAAATTTTTGGTAAATTATTTTGAATTATTTGTTTTATATCTTCAGGGGTTTGAAAATTTGTTAATAGGGTTTTCACATATTAGGAAATTTCCCATGGTAGATATTTTTATAATTGTTTCCCTACTCTGACATATCCAGTGGTATGTGGTCTACTACTTTAATTGGTCCTGTATTTGCATTGTTGATGAATTCTGCTGATTTTAAGATATTATAAATGTGGGGGATAAATATGTTAATTGTATGTACTGTATAGCAATAAATTTTCTTCCCATAATCCACCGATTTATATTTATTTAATATAGAACTCCTGTTAAGGTTTTTAAAATTTCTTAATTCTGAATACATCTGCTCCATTTTAGGGAAGAGATTTTCAGTTCAAATCTCCAACCAAAAGTTATATCATGTTCTCCAAAGAAGTTGATTTTTAGGGTCAATTTCAAAAAAGACGTGATTTATTGAGCATTCATTAAAAGGACACTATTTAACTGTGATCTCATTTAATATCCCATTTACAAACACATCTCCACTTTTTGTTATCTTTCAGAGTTTCTAAATACTTATACTACTACCTATAAGTAATAGAAACTCACCTGGATTTAAAAGATCGTTTAGCCAAGCCAAAATATTTAAGTAACAAGTCCATTGGTCTGGGTATATTCATTTCCTGTGACATAATTATTGCAGGCTTCATATTTTTTTATTAATTGGGATATAATCAATATTTTGCTTCATGTTTTATCTGTATTTAACATAACTACTTTAATCCATTGCAAGATTAATGATTGATGAATTAATTATTAATACTTGCATGATTCAATTTCAGTCTGTGTTTAATATGAAAATCCTGGCTAATATTTCAAAAGAAGAAATAATATAAATATGTTTTTCTCCTCTCTTACTCTCTTCCTGTTCCTTTTTTTCTTCCATAAAGAGAAATCCGACCTTACCCTCACTCTCTCCCAAGTTTAAACTGAGGTCAGATTATCTCAGTCTGGTAACTGAAAATAAAATCTCACTCTTCAAAAATAAGCAGTACCTTCTCAATCTTCAAAAAATATGTGTTAAGTAGTATTTTTTGCTTAGCATTTGTCTTTCCTGGCTCTTGATAAATACAAGCATATATATTACAAGCTTTGTCACTGGTCTGAGATGGGCAGCTATATAAATTGGATAAATAAAATAAATTTTCCTAAATAATATTTAATTTACCAAAGTGTGTATGTGTGTGTGTATGCACACATGTGTATATATATATCACAATATGTATTAAACATTAGCCCTCCGTTCATTTATTTGTCCTGATAGGTCAGAGTTTTCTATGTGAAACCTACCTTGTGTGAATTATCTGGGAAGAGGTATACTTTCTATAATTCCACACTACCGCCTTTCTCATTAGTTTCCTTAATTTCATCCTTGTTTTAATCTTCAACTCCTGATGTCTGTCCAGTTTTAAGAGCTATGAACAGTGTAATCAACTTCTGCATTGTAGAAATTATAAATCTAGTCCCTTGAATAATTTCTACTGATGTAAAAGAAATCTATTTTTTATATTTTTATTGTGTATTAAATAGAAAGGTACAACAAATAAATGTACAAGAGAAAGTAGAAGAAAAAGGAACAAAAGCAGATTCCCACTTCTGCATTTATACTCCAAGACCATAAGTGCTTTATACATCTTATTTATTTCATTCATTTATTTATCATTGAAGTTATATGCCACTGAAATGTAATTGACTCATCGTGCTTCCTTACAAAAAAATAAATAAAACCACTACCATATCTGCAGATAAAAATAAAAAATTACAATTACAAAAGCACAAAGAATATACAAAGACCCTGAGAGATGTACTCCATTAAGTTCCATAAGAAGTATAACATATGTATATAAAATTCAGAATCCCAAACTATATCAAGAACCTCCAAATAGTAATGGCAATACAGCAGAATTTAGCCATCCATGTAGAGATTTCTAAGGGTTAGCCTTTGAGTAGGAAAAATATATTCTCCTTTGGCTTGTTGGATTGGTTGGATTTGGGGGGGGGCTTATTAAATAAATGTGTCGTCAGATAGAATGGGTCAAAGAGAAGAACAGGTGATTCAGTGGTATAGCTCAGAGCAGAATATTTGACTACAAAAGCATACTGTATTATTCTTACAGCAAATATCAGTTTTTAAATACAGTATTAATCACACAGTATTATATTGATCACACTTGATCAAACAGTATTATATTGATCAATCTTTCCATTTCATCAGTAGACAGTCGGTTCAAAAGTAGAGAATGAAAATAGATCAACAATCAAAAATTGTAAATCCATTATAGCGCAATCTTCCCAATATAAAAGAAAAATCTTAATAAGATGCTAAATAAATCCATGGTTCTCCAAATATTGATAAACCCCAAACAGTTGGTATATAGTTCAAAATCATATTAATACTTTAAAACCATATTTTTCCCCAAATCCTATTAACAAATTTACAAATCTTAAACCAAAATAGGACAAGTCCAAAGAGATAGCCATTTGTACCTAATCTTCCTTTCTTGTAACTTTGAAGTGAAAGGATTTAAATTTAGTATCTATCCTAAGATTTGTTAGGAAATACAAGTGGACTGTTTCTAAAAAAATAGGCATGTTCATTAAAAGATTTATGTCTACACAAAATCTGACATTAAATACACCTGATTATGGTACTACATATTTTTGATATGTATATTGTTTACATTAATGTGCAAGTGGAAGGGGTATTGCTAGAATTGTTTCCCCAGCCCTTCAATATAATTTCTGCAAGAGCAAATCCAGAAAGTATTTTGATCAATTTCAGAAATCACAAAAGTGTGCAACACAATGGTACTTTTCATGATGTAAAAAAGGAATGTTATAGTGGTTTAATAATATTATGCTGTTCTTTTTCATCCTCTTCTTGAACAGATCAGCCAATCTTCTTGATTCAGGGATGCTTGTAAATATTCAGCAGCCTTTAATACGGGATGATGGTACAGTGCTACTTGCTACAGATCACAAGGTAATATTCCTTAGATATAATTGCACAATTCATGTTTTCCTGCTTTAGCAGATTGCTCCCTTATTATATATGAAGAATAAATATCTTAATAGATATTCTCTGCTTACTGAAGAGAAGTATAGTTTGATATACAGATAGTCCTCGACTTAGAACAGCAATTGGGACCGGAATTTTCATCGCTAAGCAATGCAGTCATAAAGCGTGACCACATGGCTTAGTGATGGCAATCTCTGCTTTCCCGATTGCTGTAGTTAACCGAATTCCATGGTTGTTAGGCAAGACAACTTCCTGCCAGCTTCCTGCAACATAGTGAGCGGGGAAGCTGGCAGGAAGTTGCAAGTCCCAGGCAGCTTGCAGGCACACTGGCAGGCAGGTAAGTGACTGCTGGTTGAGGGTGGAGGGGGTGCACGAAGGAGGGTCGGGGGATGCGAGCGTGCAAAGGAGGTGTGAGGCTCAGTGAGGGTGCAAGGGAAGTGCAGTGAGGCTCAGGGAGGTTGCACGGGGTTGCGAGGGAGGCTTGGGGAGGGTGCACAGGGGTATGCAAATGCCCGGTGCAGCACGAGCACAGAGGGGCTCAGAAAGGGTGAGCAGGTGGGGGAGACTTACCCCAGTGACTTGCGACCTTCCCTGCTGGCTTCCCCATTGACTTTCTGGGGAAACTGGCAGGGAAGGTCGCAAATGACAGTCACGTGATCACGGGGCACTGCTGCAGGTCATAAGTGTGAGCCGGTTGTCAAGCGCCCAGATCACAATCACATGACTGCAGAGGCGCTGGGACGGCTGGAACTCCAAGGACTGGTCATAACCACCATTCATTCAGCGCCATTGTAACTTTGAATGGTCGCTAAACAAATGGTCCTAATGTATTGTCGAAGGCTTTCACGGCCGGCATATGAAGGTTGGTGTGGGTCTTCCGGGCTGTGTGGCTGTGTTCTGGAAGTTTTGTTTCCTAACGTTT